CAGTGGGCGTGGGGAGGGGGTATTTAGGGCATTTAGACTTTTAATCAGGTTGCATCTGGTACTGCTAGCTAGCTGACTCTACGTTGGCTGCTGGAGAAGGGGACTGAGCTTGTGTGGGAATTTCCCGATTGCAGAAGTATCAATTTTTGATTCATTCATTCACTCCCAGGTAGCTGCCATGTTGTAGTGGCTAGACAGATCCAATGTCGTGGGTACAGGTTCTGACATCTTTCATAAATGACCGTGGCTCCTAGGTTGACCCAGTGTACCAGGTACAACCTTGAAAGTAATCAGGTGGCCAGGACGTTGTTGACAGCATCATCCATCAACTACCGATTTGTCTATTAAAAAAAATGTCCAGCCCTATGTGCCTGAAGGTGTGGAAGAGGGGCCTTTTACTTTATTTAAATTCATTTCCAGAAGTAGCAGCCTGAGTATTGCAGCACTAAGATACAAGGTAAAGGGTACAGAACAAACTTCAAAGTTGCAACCACTTCTGATGTTTGGATCCTCCTGTTATGCTGGTTCCCCACAACTGGCAGAATGTGTGTGCATTGTCAACGGTAGAAATCTCTCATCTGTTGGAAAACTTGGTAGCCTTAGTAAGGGACAGCTTACCAGAGTCTCATCTCTATCCAAATAAACTAGCACCACTAGGGGTAGGAGAAGAAACAGAATAAAGGGAAGAAGGAAGAAAGAAAGAAAGAAAGAAAGAAAGAAAGAAAGAAAGAAAGAAAGAAAGAAAGAAAGAAAGAAAGAAAGAAAGAAAGAAAGAAAGAAAGAAAGAAAGAAAGAAAGAAAGAAAGAAAGAAAGAAAGAAAGAAAGAAAGAAAGAAAGAAAGAAAGAAAGAAAGAAAGAAAGCAATGGCTCCCATTCAGCACAAACAAAAATATACTTCACAACTCTTCACACCCACAGTATGCTAGTAGACATACTTTATTTTTCAGATAACTTCACAGAGATAAAAAAAAACTTTTTTCTGAGACAGCTTGATGAATTAAATACATGAGGAGATAGTTTCTAAGAAGAAGTTTATACAATTCTGAAGTTTAAAACTTGCCCGACACATTAAAAATAAACATATCAACAATTTCCAATTTACTAAAATCAATGCCTGCCAAAAAAAAACATAAGTAAAAAAAATGAAACTGTGTCCACGACTTGTCTCAGCACTAAAATGAGGTGAGGCTGCTGACTGGCGGAGATGTAAAAAACCTAACTAACACAAGGACACCCAGCCTGTGATCAATTCACTTGCCAAGAATTTCAGTTTTTATCTTCTCGTGCCGGTCAGATAGACAACTGCCTCATTCTGGTGTCCATCTGTTGGCCTCTTAAAAACCATGTCGATGAATAATTTGATTGTCCAGACAATTTTAAGTACTCTCATGTAAAACAAGGGAGGCTGAGTGGCCTCGAAGCCTGGTGTCCATCTCAAGTGCTGAAGGTCCCGGGTTCAAGCCCTGGTAAAGGCTGGTATTTTTTTCATGTGGACTTCTAGTAATTTGACTTGGTCTCTGGGTAGTAAGACCAGACGCCAGTGTGTATTGTTGCGCATGTTAAAAAATCCATTGGCAGTTATAAATCGAAAACAGAATCCTAACGGCGCTCAGGCAAAATTTGTAGTTTAAAATACCCAAAGTATTTCAGGAACCTTGCCGGTGCTACAGAGATTGTGCACGGCGCTGAGATTGTTAAGATTAAGACTCAGGCTTGAGTTAGAAGTAAAACAGAGCACTTATGGATTACTACCCTTGTGCCATGATGTGTTTAAACCAATGTAAAACCACATCCTGCTGTTACCAGTTTAGTAAAGGTCCAGGATCCACAATCAAACAATCACCCACATGCCACCACCACAGGGAAAGTGAGACACACTGGATCTTCCACACTCTTGTCTTTCACCCTGACGGTATTTTCTCAGACTGCTGTATGTTTCCTCGTGTTATCCTCCCACTTATATCACTGTCTACCTTTTAATGGCTTGTCTTTAATTTTCTCTTGATGAATGATTTTGATAAATGTGTTATAATATTGTCTTTTAATGTGGTCAAAATACTTTTTGCTTCTCCCTTAAATTTGTTTTGTTATAATTTTTTTTTTATCTAAACAAATGTACAACTATGTGTTTTGATAAGAGGTGATGAAAAAACTACAAACTCAATGTATTTATAAAGTGCAAATAATTAAGTATCTCTTGCTGCAACATGCTTAACTAAATTAAAAAAATATCAGGCTTATCTGAAATCAACTCCAATTAGCAAGCGTGATAGCCTTCATTAGTGACCAAATACTATTAAAACAGTAAATAACGGGTCTAGAATTTTCTTTTTAAAGTTATAAAAGTAAAGTTAGTTGCATATCTTTACAGGATGTTGTAAAACCAACCCCAGCTTTCTTTGGGTGTTTTTGATGTTACTAGACAATGTTAGATTGAGTATTTTGCCATTGTTTTCGAATGGTCAGCTCTCATGACCACTGTCTTAACCAATGTCAACATCAGTGCAAAGTGGTCTGTGGCCAAATCACCCAAATCTGGGGTTGAACCTGGGACCTCAGAACTATGAAGTGTATTTGCAGCATCTAAGTCACAGACACCGAGTAAAATTTTGCTTGCATGGTCACTCAACTTAGGATACACTCACTAAAATTACTGCATAGTCACTCAACTTAGGATACCCTCACTAAAATTACTGCATAGTCACTCAACTTAGGATACACTCACTAAAATTACTGCATGGTCACTCAACTTAGGATACCCTCACTAAAATTACTGCATGGTCACACAACTTAGGATACCTTCACTAAAATTACTGCAGTGCAGTCACTCAACTTAGGATAACCTCACTAAAATTACTGCATAGTCACTCAACTTAGGATACCCTCACTAAAATTACTGCATGGTCACTCAACTTAGGATACCCTCACTAAAATTACTGCATGGTCACTCAAATTAGGATACACTCACTAAAATTACTGCATGGAAGCTCAACTTAGGATACCTTCACTAAAATTACTGCATAGTCACTCAACTTAGGATACCCTCACTAAAATTACTGCATGGTCACTGAACTTAGGATACCCTCACTAAAATTACTGCATGGTCACTCAACTTAGGATACCCTCACTAAAATTACTGCATGGTCACTCAACTTAGGATACACTCACTAAAATTACTGCATGGTCACTCAGCTTAGGATACACTCACTAAAATTACTGCATGGTCACTCAACTTAGGATACACTCGCTAAAATTACTGCATGGTCACTGAACTTAGGATACACTCACTAAAATTACTGCATGGTCACTCAACTTAGGATACCTTCACTAAAATTACTGCATGGTCACTCAACTTAGGATACCTTCACTAAAATGACTGCATGGTCACTCAACTTAGGATACCCTCACTAAAATTACTGCATAGTCACTCAACTTAGTATACACTCACTAAAATTACTGCATGGTCACTCAACTTAGGATACACTCACTAAAATTACTGCATGGTCACTCAACTTAGGATCTATCTATCTATCTATTGTCGTTCTACTCCATTTATCCATTTTTACCGGGTCATCCTCTGGCCTTTCTTCCCGATTTTCTACTGTAAAAGGCCTTATAGCAATATGATCCGGTTGCATTCTTACTAAATGGCCAAACCACTTCATTCTCTGTCTTTCAATATGTTCCATGCATGCTCTTGTTCCAACTTTGTATTAAAGATACACAAAATGTCTGCATATAACATCTACTGGAATAGACAACGTTGTCAGGTAGATTTAAAAAAAAAATTTATAGGTTAGAGATACAATGAAGCCTTCAACAATCATACATAAAAATACCCACTAAAATATACGGTGCAGTCTGAGACCTTAGCACAACCACCCTGCATATAAACAGAATTATGTAGTCTTGTCAACAACCCTGTGTTAAAACAAGTGGGATTCCAAATGAATGATCTCCCTTATTAATTAAGATTAATGCCCTTCTCAAAACTCACACATTAACAAACCCTGAACAACATACAGGTCCTTTGTTTATCAAGTTATATGGAAGCAGGACTTGTTAGATTCTTTCAAATGTTTTTATAATCACATACTGACATAGCCAGCTGAACCAATATGTGCAGTCACTGACAGCCAACTATAATCATATTAACCATACTTTAGAGTTATGGAATTATAATTGTATATTTGGTCGGCCGGCCATGAGGCCACACGTCAGGCAGCAGTAACCATACAATAAGTCAGACATCTAAAACTACACAATGGGTCAGAGATATAGAGACACACACACAGCAGCTGCAGTCACAGCCTAAGTCACTTAGCTCCAGTCACACCCTATGTCAGCCAGCTGTACCCACACACTGACTGCATGTAGCCACACACACTGACTGCATGTACCCACATACTGATTGCACAACTCAGATCATAATAACAAGTGCAGGCATTCTCTGTGGAATACCCCACATGAGGATAATCAGGTAACAGACAAATGTTGCCACTGGCCTGCACATACCTCACCAGCGGAGATCACACTATATCAACATACAAATGTTGCCACTGGCCGGCACATACCTCACCAGCGGAGATCACACTATATCAACATACAAATGTTGCCACTGGCCAGCACATACCTCACCAGCTGAGATCACTTTATATCAATGTATAAATGTTCCTACCGGCCCACACATACCTCACCAGCTGAGATCACTTTATATCAATGTATAAATGTTCCTACCGGCCCACACATACCTCACCAGCTGAGATCACACTATATCAACATACAAATGTTGCCACTGGCTGGCACATACCTTACCAGCAGAGATCACATTATATCAATGTATATAATGTTCCTACCGGCCCACACATACCTCACCAGCTGAGATCACACTTTATATACATACAAATGTTGCCACTGGCCCACATATGCCCCACATCCTCCCTGCACACTGAGATCACATTATATCAACACATAACTATATACATTCTTGTTATTTCTCTCAGCTTTCCTCTGGAGATTTTGGTATGATCACAGTTATGTCATCCTCGTCTACTCCACGAATTCGATTCTGTATCTCCTTCTTCATTACTCGCCCCAGAAACTGAAAAAAGAAATTTGAAAGAAAAAAAAGTTAATTTGCATATTCTTGTGAAACAAATTTCAGTGGTACATGTTTTTAAACATCCTGTTTTTCTTTTGTTGCCATTCTCCACATGGCTGGAAGAATATCATAGATTGTCTGTCCATATCATTGAGGTAGTTGCGGTAATGTACTGGTTGACTGACTGGCTGCTGCCACTCCTCTGGGTAGTCATCTATGTTATGATAAAGCATAGATGGCTGAAGGCTCTCCAGGATCAAGTGGACATTGCAATGGTTACAGACAGGATACTCATACCATGGTTGCAGACAGGATACTCATACCATGGTTACAGACAGGATACTCAAACCATGGTTACAGACAGGATACTCATACCATGGCTACAGACAGGATACTCATACCATGGTTACAGACAGGATACTCATACCATGGTTACAGACAGGATACTCATACCCTGGTTACAGACAAGAGACTCATACCATGGTTACAGACAGGATACTCATACCATGGTTACAGACAGGATACTCATACCATGGTTACAGACAGGATACTCATACCCTGGTTACAGACAAGAGACTCATACCATGGTTACAGACAGGATACTCATACCATGGTTACAGACAGGATACTCATACTATGGTTACAGACAGGATACTCATACCCTGGTTACAGACAGGATACTCAAACCATGGTTACAGACAGGATACTCATACCATGGTTACAGACAAGAGACTCATACCATGGTTACAGACAGGATACTCATACCATGGTTACAGACAGGATACTCATACCATGGTTACAGACAGGATACTCATACCATGGTTACAGACAGGATACTCATACCATGGTTACAGACAGGATACTCATACCATGGTTACAGACAGGATACTCATACCATGGTTACAGACAGGATACTCATACCATGGTTACAGACAGGATACTCATACCCTGGTTACAGACAGGATACTCATACCCTGGTTACAGACAGGATACTCATACCATGGTTACAGACAGGATACTCATATGCTGGTTACAGACAAGAGACTCATACCATGGTTACAGACAAGAGACTCATACCATGGTTACAGACAAGAGACTCATACCATGGTTACAGACAAGAGACTCATACCCTGGTTACAGACAGGAGACTCATACCATGGTTACAGACAGGAGACTCATACCATGGTTACAGACATGATACTCATACCATGGTTACAGACAAGAGACTCATACCCTGGTTACAGACAGGAGACTCATACCATAGTTACAGACAAGAGACTCATACCATGGTTACAGACAAGATACTCATACCCTGGTTACAGACAGGATACTCATACCCTGGTTACAGACAGGATACTCATACCATGGTTACAGACAGGATACTCATACCATGGTTACAGACAGGATACTCATACCATGGTTACAGACAAGAGACTCATACCCTGGTTACAGACAGGATACTCATACCATGGTTACAGACAGGATACTCATACCATGCTTACAGACAAGATACTCATACCATGGTTACAGACAGGATACTCATACCATGGTTACAGACAGGATACTCATACCATGGTTACAGACAGGATACTCATACCCTGGTTACAGGCAGGATACTCATACCATGGTTACAGACAGGATACTCATACCATGGTTACAGACAGGATACTCATACCATGGTTACAGACAGGATACTCATACCATGGTTACAGACAGGATACTCATACCATGGTTACAGACAAGAGACTCATACCCTGGTTACAGACAGGATACTCATACCCTGGTTACAGACAGGATACTCATACCCTGGTTACAGACAGGATACTCATACCATGGTTACAGACAGGATACTCATACCATGGTTACAGATAGGATACTCATACCATGGATTGAGGGGTAATTATGTAACACATGTATCTGTTACTTTTCTTCAGCACTGGCCTCAAATGGGCGGCTGGCATGTTGTGTTGTGGTTTCTAGCTGCCTGCGATGCCGGTAACTTTTATGACATGCTTGTTTAAAGGGGCAGGGGGTCTAATCCAACCTCCCCCCTCCTCCTCTGAGAAAACTGGGGCCCTGGAGCTCAAATGGGGAGTAAGTGAGTAAAGGACCCTTTTCTAAACCTTTAGACGTATTAGGCACACAGGGCTAGACCCATACTTTATAGACCATTCAGCACTTGCTGGGTGATGCATCGCGCCGGTCGACTTTACTTCCCAGGACTTTACCTGGTACCCATTTAAGGCTGGTTCATCCGGGAAACAAGATCATTAAAAAAAAAGTGCAACCCTAGCAGGACCTTAACGTACAACCTCTGGATCTGCAGGCAGGCGTTTAGCCACTACACCGTAGCAGCCCCCCCCCCCCCCCCCCCTCCCCATGTAGAAGTATCTAATATACTATTGTATTGCTGTGTTTCTTGACAATCCACAACATCCAGAAAATTATCACGTCTTCTCTGCTGCTTAACCAGTTCACTATTTCATGTCCAGTGTTGACAGATATGCAGACAAACTTTTAACAAGTTACTTATTATCAGTTTGTCGCTGTTTTCAAACTAGTTTACCTCAGACTTGTTACTTTAAACTAGTTTACCTCAGACTTGTTACTTAAAACTAGTTTACCTCAGACTTGTTACTTTAAACTAGTTTACCTCACACTTGTTACTTTAAACTAGTTTACCTCAGACTTGCTACTTTAAACTAGTTTACCTCACACTTGTTACTTAAAACTAGTTTACCTCAGACTTGTTACTTTAAACTAGTTTACCTCACACTTGTTACTTAAAACTAGTTTACCTCAGACTTGTTACTTTAAACTAGTTTACCTCACACTTGTTACTTTAAACTAGTTTACCTCACACTTGTTACTTTGTTGGTGGTACTCAACAGCAGGGAGTAGAAAGTCTAAGAAGGTGATTGGGAGGACAAACAGGCAAGCTGCATAAACTATTGCCAGATTTTCAGAATTACAAGATAAAATCTGTGGGGGTGTACTATGAACTCACATTCTTGTTCTTTACGTTCACTGCCTGTAAACTCCAGCAGTAAGTTCTGGTTGTTCTAGAGATTGTTTTAGAACTTGAGTTTTACAGATCAGGCTTATTTGTATGCAGACTGTTGGTTGGTGTCTTGCTTTTCAGGCAGATGCACTCAGACTTCAAAAGAAACAACCCTAATTAGTCATCTTTAACAAACGCTTGGGGGAAACTGGGTTTTTTTTCCCCCCTCTCACCCCTTAATGAGGCCTTGGTATTCACACAGGGAATAGTAATATTAAAATTGGGGCACACATGAAAGAAGGATGAGAAACATTGGTAGAGCATGTAATGATGTTTGCAAGTTGAAGACTCACCAGGGCAGCAACAAAGTCTGCAGCGATCAGCATGTAGAAGACATACTTCCAGCCCTCCTTGGGACTGCTGCTTGAGATCACTCCTGTCAGAAGAGGTCCAATAGCAGCACCTAGAGAGATAAAAATTTATTGATCAATCTCAGCATCTAGAGAGATAAATATTTATTGATCAATAGCAGCGCCTAAAGAGAAAAATATTTATTGATCAATCTTAGCACCTCGAGAGATAAATATTTATTGATCAATCTCAGCACCTCTAGAGAGATAAATATTTATTGATCAATAGCAGCGCCTAGAGAGATAAATATTTATTGATCAATCTCAGCATCTTGAGAGATAAATATTTATTGATCAATCTCAGCACCTCGAGAGATAAATATTTATTGATCAATCTCAGCACCTAGAAAGATAAATATTTATTGACCAATATCAGCACCCAGAGAGATAAATATTTATTGATCAATATCAGCACCTAGAGAGATAAATATTTATTGATCAATCTCAGCAACCAGAAAGATAAATATTTATTGATCAACAGCTGTAAACAGAGACATATCTAAATAATGTGGGCACAAAAAATAAATTGCACAATTTATTTTTATTTTTTTGTGCTATCACTGGCTGTCAACTCCTATAGAAAGTTTTGGTTGTTTGTCCACTTCTGGACTTGAGCCTTGTTCCAGAACTTAATTGTTGCACACATGTTAATTTTACAGATCTAGTTTATTTGTAGGCAGACTGTTGGTTCCTTGCTTCTCAGGCAGATGCACTCTTGACTTCAAAGAAAGCCCCTAAGTAGAGTACTCTTACTTCCCTTGAAGTCAGAGTACATCTGCCCGTGAGGCAGGGAACGGCAAAAGCCAGTAAAACGGTTGTACACGCAAAACTCAGGTCCAGGTAAAAGCCAAAAGTTCAAACGGACGATTAACCGGGGCCTTCCGCCGGAATTCACAGCCAGTGAAAGAAGAAGAAGAAGTACTCTTACGACAGACTTGTTAAGGAGGCCAGCGGGTCTATTCTTGTTAGCCCCATAATGGGGCCCCAGAAACCCAAGAGGGGATACTGCCCAATTTACTGCCATGCATATTTCACTGTAGTCGGCTCTGAGGCTAAGTCGATGTGAATGCTTCATAATGCTGGGATGCCGGGTTCGATCCCAGCAGCAGGCCATGCCCCTTGCATTGGTTTTGATGGTGGTATCAAGAGAGCCGACCGTCCAGAAAGCAATGGCAAACTACTGGGTGTAAATTTGTATAGAAAAACCACACAACAGCCAGGGGCTGTTGGGGTTGGTTCTGCAACGTCCTGTAAAGGATACGCAACTAACCTTTTATATTTCACTGTTTCTTACCCAGTGCATCCCTAAGAGCTTACCTCCATACACCACGAAGCAGACACAAACCCTTTCCAAATGTAATGTTTGTGTCGGCATTAGATCAATCTTTATTAATCAATAGTAGCTTCCTGACACATAAATATTTATTCATCAACGACTGCTCATAAAGACAGAAATATTAATTCATTGTCATCATTTCTCTGGGTAGTAAGATCAGATGCCCGTGTGTATACTTGCGCACTTAAAAATTACCTTGGCAGTTGGAAATAAAAAAAAGTAGCCTAACGGCTTTTAAATTAGGAATTTAAAATATACTCAAAGTATTTCAGGATCCTCGCAGATGCAACAGAGTTTGTGCACGGGGCTGAGATTCTTCAGACTCAGGCTTGAGTTAGAAGTAGAACAGAGCACTTATGGGTTACACCCGTGTGCCATTATGTTGATCCATCAAATAAACATAAACATTTTGCCATATAACTACTTGAAAGGAAAAAACATTTTTGGAAAATAAAATAAAGGTTAGTAACAATATTCTTCTGACTGTCAGCTTTTTAGTTTCCAAGAGGTTACATTGATGGAAGGGCAAATATTTACTTTGAAGCACTCACAGAATCGAACTGGTACTAACACACAAATAGTACCATGCTAGAGTGAAGCCACAAGCTAATCCATGTCGGAAAAAAGTGACAGGAAGTGCGTACAAAAAACAACTTATATGTATAAACACATGTATATACACACACACATACACACACAAATATATATATATACATACATATATACGTCCGCCAGCTGTGTCTATTATATGTACTTATTGCTCATGCAGTCTAAGTACTATATTCTGTTGTATCCTATGCAACTTTTTCTACTCTATATGATGAATGGAACTGAGTCCAGCATCTCTGCCTTTCTCAACGCTCATCTTAGGGGTTTTTACTGGACGTCCGTGTTCTCTTAATTCATTTGTTTCTCATTTCAGTGCCTCTACAGAGATTCTCAGTCCAGTTCTCCTTATAATGTGCCCAATATCACACCATCTTCTGTTTCTTATAACTTATACAAGAAGTTCAAACACTTCTCTAATTCCTTTATCCCTTCTAAAATTCATCCCATTTAATTACTACACGTATCTTTAACATATATTTCCAGTTGACATGGCTGGAAAAAACTGGACTTTTCATGAAACACATGATGTCTTATGTCCCACAATGCTGCACTTACCGATACTTCCTGTCCCATCAATAATAGCCGTCACCATGCCAAGAGCCTTGGCATTTCCGCGGACAGTTTTATGTGTTCCCAGGTCAGCGCTGACTGCCGTAGTGATTAGCGCATATGGTCCATTGACCCCGACTCCACAAACTGCCAGCAAAACTGAGGAGAAAAAAATCACAGATTGACAACTCTATGTACTTGATGTTTGAAATCTTTTCTACTAACTAAACAAAATTACAACCAATTTTAATTCTAAGTAAATGAAATAAATATACCAAAATGTTTAGAAATTGTAAATTTTAACAAAGAAGACATAAACAATAGATTGCCCAATTTATCGCCTGGCATATTTCGCTGTATCTCATCTGATGCATACTCTAGTAACAATTAATTGTTACTGTATCATTCACCTGACAGGATACAGCAAAATATACCAGGCGATAAATGATGCAATCTTTGTTCAAAGTCAAATAGTTTGATTTTTAAGAATCACTTCATTTGTACAGATATTTGTATAGATGCTCCAGTCACCTAACCTTACTCCCCACTCTTCTAAATATACACATAACACAAACCACAAAATGAGATAACCGCATGACATTATACTTCTTATACTAATTACCTCAGACATGCATACATTCAAAAAAACTATGACATCTTTAAAAAAATAAACACATACATGATGGATAGACAGATATCCACACACAAAATGTAAATAGAGCTAAGCCTGTGACATCTTTAACAGACAAAATAAAAGTCATCACTGGAACACATGGTTAAACAAACAGAAAGACAGATGATACACGCATGGTCAAACAGTGATAAGCCTGTGACATCTTCAACAAAAAATACAATATAAACCATCACTGGAACACCACAAATACTTACGACAGTTGGCCCAGAATGGAATGCTAGTGCCATACTCATTGTACAGAAACAGCTGTAGGAGAGAGACAGAATGCATTAATACACATCTGATAATAGTGGTCATTTAAACAACAATTTATTGTTCAACCCATCCATGGTGGGACAGAAGATAGAGGGCATGTAGCACTGTACTTAACAGATGGGTCCATGGTGGGACTGAAGATAGAGGGCATATAGCACTGTACTTAACAGCTGGGTCCATGGTGGGACTGAAGATAGAGGGCATTTAGCACTGTACTTAACAGCTGGGTCCATGGTGGGACTGAAGATAGAGGGCATATAGCACTGTACTTAACAGATGGGTCCATGGTGGGACAGAAGATAGAGGGCAGATAGCACTGTACTTAACAGATGGGTCCATGGTGGGACTGAAGATAGAGGGCATATAGCACTGTACTTAACAGATGGGTCCATGGTGGGACTGAAGATAGAGGGCATATAGCACTGTACTTAACAGATGGGTCCATGGTGGGACTGAAGATAGAGGGCATATAGCACTGTACTTAACAGATGGGTCCATGGTGGTACTGAAAATAGAGGGCATATAGCACTGTACTTAACAGATGGGTCCATGGTGGGACTGAAGATAGAGGGCATATAGCACTGTACTTAACAGATGGGTCCATGGTGGGACTGAAGATAGAGGGCATATAGCACTGTACTTAACAGATGGGTCCATGGTGGTACTGAAAATACAGGGCATATAGCACTGTACTTAACAGATGGGTCCATGGTGGGACTGAAGATAGAGGGCATATAGCACTGTACTTAACAGATGGGTCCATGGTGGGATCCTTACTGAATTCTCTTGACAACAGAGGGGAAATCAAGAAGACAACTTATTGCAGTGACCACCGGTACAGATATTTTAGATGTAAAGACCAGTCAACCTTCTCTTGTTACTTGTTATCCATATCCACACCCTAGCACAATGGTTCGACACATCTGTGCTCCACCCTCTGATGTAGTAGCCATCCCAGTGTCTTCAAGCTCAACAAACCTAGCAGGAGTTGACTGGTATATCTTCTTTCTTCACTCCGTAACTTGTTTCTATAGGCTAGTCCTCTTTTAATAAAACATTTCCAACAGGCAGCTTTATGGACCATGAGTCCTTTGCCTCGTTTATAGAACACACTGTTTTCAATATACATACCCTAACTCTTTGAGTCCCAGGGAACGCATCATACGCTCACAGGTTCTTACCTAGAAGCCCAATGAATGCATGATGTGTTGATTTTAGTCTCTCTTTACAACCCATTGAGCCTGTGATGCTAAACCCCCTGGGACTCAAAGAGTTAAGCTACTTCTTCCTGCACTAACTACTGCAGCCAGTCTGTCAGCTCCTACATTTGCTTTTACCCCAGCATATCTTTGAGTTATTGATGTAGGACATCTGGATGCTCCTGGAAATTCATTCTAGTTGGAGTCTGCCAGTTTGGATTTTCCAAAATCAACTTCCTCAAATGAAAGCAAGTGAGCAAAGAATAAATGAAAAAGATTTATACTGGAAAAGAAAACATGCTCACCAACGGGGCTACGAGCACCAAGAAGATGATGCATGTTGTGCCTCGCATGCGGTACTTGTCCGAGATGTATCCTGCCAAAATGCCACCTGCAACATTCATTAAAAAAAGAAATGCTCACTATAAATGTCAGTTAGTTAATTGCTAGTTTGGGTTGCTTGGTTAGCAGGTGAAACAGCTGGCTGGTTGGATGGTTTATTGATAAGTTGGATAGTTTGTTGACAGGTTGGATTGTTAGTTGCTAAAATGGTTGGCTGGACAGATGGTTGTTTTATTGAATTAGTTAGTTGGTCAGATGGTTCTAGCACAGATTGAAAGAAAGAAAGAAAGAAAGAAAGAAAGAAAGAAAGAAAGAAAGAAAGAAAGAAAGAAAGAAAGAAAGAAAGAAAGAAAGAAAGAAAGAAAGAAAGAAAGAAAGAAAGAAAGAAAGAAAGAAAGAAAGAAAGAAAGAAAGAAAAGAAAGAAAGAAAAAAGAGAAAGAAAGAGAGAAAGAGAGAGAAAAGAAAGAAAGAAAGAAAGAAAAAGAAAGAAAGAAAGAAAGAAAGAAAGAAAGAAAGAAAGAAAGAAAGAAAGAAAGAAAGAAAGAAAGAAAGAAAGAAAGAAAGAAAGAAAGAAAGAAAGAAAGAAAGAAAGAAAGAAAGAAAGGAGAAGAGAAATGGAGAAAAGAAAGAAAGGAGAAGAGAAATGGAGAACGACAGAGACAGAAACAGAGAGGCTGCACAAGAGAAATACTGAGAGACAGACAGACAGACAGACAGACAGACAGACAGACAGACAGACAGACAGACAGACAGACAGACAGACAGACAGACAGACAGACAGACAGACAGACAGACAGACAGACAGACAGACAGACAGACAGACAGACAGACAGACAGACAGACAGACAGACAGACAGACAGACAGACAGACAAAAAGTGGGAGATATCTGAAGGGGGGTGATTTATCAATCTATGTTAAAAAGCAAGAACTTACCCAGAATTCCACCGACGTCAAAAATGGTTGAAACATAGGCTGCCTGTGTGGCATTCACTACAAGAAAAAATAAAAACAGCAATTTGAAGAAAAATAATCCAAAAAAAAGTTATGCTATTATTTTTGTTTAGGTACACAAAGGAATAATATGGTCTTAAAGGATTAAAAACTGTGAAAATGATTTTTAACCCTGTCACCCCAGGAAGCTGTGAACCCGGCATTTCCCTCGATGCCACATCCCTGTGAAGATTGTGAAACTAGCAAGTTTGTAGTGACCATTGTTCCAAGAAGTTTAGTATCACCTCACTGGTTCTGTTATCACCGATAAGGCATGGATAGGATTATATCTACTAGAAAAAGTGTGGTTTCCTGTAGATTAAGTAACAAAGGTCATGGGGTCACGGTATGAATCAGTGAATTCACATTTTTCAGGCATGGAGAAATGTAGTTCATTTAATGCTTTCTTCTGTTCTTACTTATTGATTAATTCCTTTATACACATACACACACACAATGTTTAAATTTTCAACATTTTATTAGTGACTTGAGTAAAATTTGTTTTTATTAGGGTGGAAGGAGGGAGAGGGGGTGGGGAAGTAAATTTTCTTTTAGCATTCCTTGGTCAAACCTGTTCATGTCCGGTGGACTGATTTTCTGCTAAACTGGTTAGCCAGGCACAGGAATCGGTCAATAGGGCCTATATGCATGCACCTTTTAGATTCTTTATCTTTCGCCTTTTATCTTCACATGGAACGTGGACTCTTAACGATGCACACCAAACACAATCTTTGCCATATGCTGTAGATCACTCTGTGTCCTTCTCATCTGACTCACATCGGTCTCTGTTTATCTTCTTGATGTGTTTCCGTGGTTTTCCTTGATTATGCTTTACCCTGTGGGTTCCAGTACAGGGATATCCTAATACTATCATGTTTTCTTAATTCGTGTCTTTTTCACTGCCAGCAATTTGTCCTCACCTAATGATTAATCTGAATTTTATTAACGCTTTCACACAGCTCTGCATTAGTGATTTTGTCATAACATTTACATTAAATTATGCAAGAGGTGACTAGCGGTACAGCTGGTCTTGCGGTTGGCTGCCCCAACCTCTGGAAAGATTCAGCCACAGAAGAAAACCAGTTATGAACAAGTGTTCTACTGACAGTGATGATGGTGGTGATGATGATAATGGTGGTGGTGATAGTGGTAATGGTGATGATGATGATAATGGTGGTGGTGATAGTGGTAATGGTGATGATGATAATGGTGGTGGTGGTGACGAGGGCGATGATGTCAACCAGGTTTGAGGTTTTAACAACGGATTAACATCATGGCACACAGGTAGAAACATATAAGTGCTCCGTTCTTCTTCTAACTCAAGTCTGAGTCTGAAGAAGCTCAGCACAGTGCAGTTTTTGTAGCACCAGCGAGGATCCTGAAATACTTTGGGTAGATTTTTAACTCCAAATTGTTGCCCAGGCAGTGATATTAGGCTACTTTTTTTTTATTTCCAACTGCCAAGGGATTTATTATGTGCATAACAATGCACACGGGCGTCCAATCTCACTACCCAGAGACTAGAGGGAATTACTAGAAGTCTAAGACCACGTGACAAAGTCCCAGCCCACCGGGAATTGAACCCGGAACCTCTATCACTCGAGGCGGACACCATGCCTAGAGATCATGCAGCCCCCCGATGATGACAAAGATAGTGATGATTATGGTAATGAAATGATGATGACGGTGGCAGTGCTGACAATAACCATAAAATCATGCAGCAAACTCACCTGACTGGCTCAGGTATTTTGGCAGCCAGTAGAGAAATGTGTAAGAGACCAATTTGGCAAAAAACAAGCACAAAGAAAACTCAATGACGCCCTGAAAAAGAAAAAAAGATAATACAATTAGGTGAAATCAGAATACAAGGTAAATAACAGATTCACACTGACATTTACTGGGCTTGATACCCTCACTAGGCCCGATCCATGACCTTTCACCCGCAGTTCATGGACAGGTCACTAGCCTGCAGCAGACCAGAGAAATGACCTTTGACCTGTAGTCCCTGGACAGGTCACTAGCCTGCAGCGGACCAGATAAATGACCTTTGACCTGTAGTCCCTGGACAGGGCACTAGCCTGCAGTAGACCAGTTAATGACCCTTGACCTGTAGTCCCTGGACAGGTCACTAGCCTGCAGCAGACCAGAGAAATGACCTATGACCTTTGACCTGTAGTCCCTGGACTAGCTTGCAGTAGACCAGATAAATGACCTTTCACCTATAGTCCACAGTGCCAGTTCATGGGATTTGTGCTGGTGGCCTGCCAAAAATATGTTCACTCAAACATGATTCAGTGAACACAGTACTCTCTATTTTTGTGTCTCTCTTGGCAATCAGTTGGTGCCCAAAACATTTATCAAATTTTTCCAGTCTGCAAATGCAAACAGATTGGGGAACCCAGGACTAGAGGATCATCACTTTCATCTTCTGTTTATTAATCATGACTTTTCACTCATTTTATGACTGATCCTTTTCTAGCAATCCCAATAATGATTTCATACAAGACATGCCCGGCTCTCTAGCATAGTTGGCTAAACCGGATTACGTGGTGACCGGGTGACGAACTCCTTGTGGTCCGGGTTCACTCCTAGGGGTAGGCAGGAAAGCCACATTTTCTCCCAGATTTACGGTATTTACAATGGAATCAAGGCCGAAAGGTTGCGATATCTATAATATCAAGCCTAAGGGTTATCAACTCATGGCTTCTGGATACTAAAACAAACATACAAGACATGCATCTGTCAATACTGCAGCATTCATTATCTTCTAATTAAGTATGAGCAATCGAGCCGTCTGCCAGTGTCTTTGTGCTGAACAGACTCTGTAACATGTCTTGCAAGAGACTATCCTCTCTTGGCGAAGCTGCAAAGCAACACCCGGTAGACCTGACAACTAAGCTTTGTGGAAACCTAAGAGACCTTGAGATGACATCCCAGTTTATGGCACACAGTGAGTTATGCACGTGACCAGAGATCGCTGAAGAAGTACCCAGAAACATATCAGCCCTGCCTCATTTCCACATGACTGCACTAGGCCTTCTACAGCATTTGTGTCCATATAAACACATTTGTGTCCATATAAACACATTTGTGTCCATATAAACACATTTGTGTCCATATAAACACATTTGTGTCCATATAAAGAGACACACAACTTTTAGTAAGCAACTGTCGTATATGACACTGCTTACTCTTAGTAGTGTTTGTACCATTCAAGGCAGGTCAGATAAGCATTGCATACTTTATATGTTTATGTTGTTTATTGTGTCATTTGTTTACACAACATTTGAATACAATGATGCAGTCATTTCCCAGTCAGTTCATGTGTATGTTGTGTGTTGTTTCTCGTCACTGTCCTGCAGATAAATGCTAATCACCATAATGCTTTTTCTTTGTCTGTTCTTACTGGACCAGTAAAGCTGACATATACTTGATGCTTTTGCAATCTTTTTTATTTAGAGTTAATTTTAGTTTTTAAAAAAGTATAAATATGATGACTGTAATTTGTCTTTGTTTTATATATTTTATCTGATGTTAATGTTATTCAGGAAACCTCATAATCTTTAGCACACTCACTGTTGTATCGTTCTGTAGTTTTGTTATTATAATCCCAATCTTTCTTCTTCTTATTCTTCTTCTTCAGCATTCTGAGCCCTTGAGGTTCATTGGTGCAGATATCACTTGCCTCCATTCATCTCTCTAATAGGTCTAAATCTTTGTCTCATTAAAATAAAGAACGAATGTTGCAGAAATGAGTGACCAGGGAACTGGACAACGTTTTATGCTCAAGACAAAAGGCAAGATGGAACTACTATCAGGCTGCTGCTGGTACCCGTGGAAGTGAAAACTGTTGACTGCTAAAGATGGGGTCAGAGGGCTTATGGAAATGCCCAAGTGCTGTGATGCTATTTATAAACTCGAGGGTGCCACAGTCTTCCAGTGGCTAGCATGCTTCCCTACCTGTTCAGTGGTTACAGACTCAAAATTTATCCGAGTGCTTCCAAGAATTCACTGAATATTACGACTAGAAAGCTCATCCAGGATTTTTCATCTTCTTGCTGTGACACTCAATAAAGGTTTTGGCCAAAAAGTTCATTTGGGAATCAGGTTATCACAACTCTAACATTACAGCAAAGAGAGGGACAGAGCATTATATTCAGACTAAGGACTGGGCACAGCAGACTTCGTCAACATATGTTCACATTTTTCGATGTAGGAATCAGGGAGTCGTGTCCTTGCAGCGTGGCACCCGAAAATGCTGAGCATGTGCTCCAACACTGTCAACTGTATGTTGACAACAGAGACACAAGCTGGCCTGTTCCAACCCCAATGAAGACAAAACTGTATGATACATGAGAGGATATGGACTGCACGATAGCTATACATTTTTCTGACAGAAGGATCGAAGAAGAAGAAGAGACTGGCTCTGTTTCTGTGCCAGCGAAAACCACAAAGAAAGTCCATGACCATCCACTACAAAATAATTGTGTACAAATGTTTGACTGTTCTTGTGCATTGTCTCTCCCCTCTCTTCCTTTACACTGAATATCTTGGTCATATTTAGGGTTGAGTGAATTCATTTATAACCCTTATTTTCATGACTTTTGGATCCCCCAAGACCTACATGTTTAGTAAAACCTTGCTACTGAATCATCAGATAATCAATTACTGCAACAATCTCACTAATCTGTAATGGCTTCCTCACTGAAACCTGGCAGAAATAAATATTTGCTGAATTAGGGCACAGAGCTCTTCAACAATAAAACAGTCAACACTTACAGGGATGGTTACAGTCGACACTTAAGGGATGGTTACAGTCAACACTTACAGGGATGGTTAAGGCTTTCAGGATGGAAATGGGTTTCTCCTTGGAACTGACATGCCTATGTTTGGAAATCAAGGCCTGGAGATGAAAGCATTATACAGTTTATCAACAAAGTATAGCAGAATAAGCTGTTACAGGGATGACATCTTGGGTGTAATGTCATTTTAAATGTCATACAAATTATAAATGGTTTTATATATGTAGTGGCAGCCAATGTGATGTAGCAGCAGTTACAGACTAACCTGCAGACCTAAAGGTCATGGGTTCAAACCGGACAGGGCCAGAACTTTTTAAAAACTCCCTTTGGCTCTCAGGTGGACCTAACCTTGAATAGGCACAAGGTAAAGTCTTGGGAAGTAAAGTTGAGTGGGATGATGCATTCCTAATTACCCAGCGAATGTAAATTGGTCTATAAAATATGGATCTAGAACTATTTACCCAATAAGCCTGAAGTGTGGAAAGGGGTCCTTGACTCTTACTTTTTAAACTTTATACCCAATACATTTATGCTTTCTCACAAATCTTAACAGACCATACACTAGTATACTTTACTATACACTAATATAATATACAGTTTCCTGCACACTTTTTTTATCCGCACTGCACCAACTCCTCTCTTCAAAATGCACAATAAACCATAGATTGTCTTGCAAAAACCTCATACTGTCCCAGATCTTGACCTACCGTATCTTCTCCAAGGCGTATGACTCTCTCTTCCTCCGTGTCTGCCTCTGTATCCACATTACGTGAGACAATGTTGACTTTCCTCTGAAATCAACAGTCAAGATATGAGCACATCCTTCTATGAGGAAACATTACTCTAACAAGAACTATCGAACAATCTACATCAGTAGATAGCAACATTAGCTGCATACACTTTACAGTAGATATGTCACAATGAATGTCACCTGAAGAAGTTTCGGTCACAATTTGTCATCATGACTACCACATACAAATAAAATTGGAGTTATGCAATAAATATTACAGCAGAATTTTTCCTTTGTCAAGGCCACAGGTGTGCTTGCAACGGGCCACAGGTTTGGTTTCAAAGGGCCACAAATGTGCTTGCAACGGGCCACAGGTGTGCTTGCAACGGGCCGCAGGTGTGCTTGCAAAGTGCCGTGGGTCATCAGTTTGTCATACCTGATTTACAGGATATTGGACAACCAGCTCGAGTTTTATTTTACTGTTTGTGATTTACTGTTTGTTTGTGATTCACTGTTTTTGATTTACTGTTTGTGATTCACTGTTTGTGATTTACTGTTCGTGATTTACTAAGCAATTTGATGTTCTTCTTTTTCTTAGCATTCAAAACTGTAAAGTCTAGAGGAAAGTTCTGGTTGTTTGTCCATTTCTGGACTTTGGTCATGATCCAGAACTTGAGTTTTGCATACACATCTGTTTAACAGAACTAGGTTATTTGTATGCAGACTGTTGGTTCCTTGCTTCTAAGGCAGATGCATTCTCACTTTGAAGGAAACACCCCTAATAGTTGCTTCCTACGAGGTGCTTGTGGTGGTGGTGGAGTTGGGGTTGATGACTTTTTTGTTCTCAAAACTGATTCCCAGAACCTACATAGGGACAATTTTATGTTCAGTTGTGTGCCCTTGTTGCTGAATGCTGGTGCTCCATACCATTGTCCAAGTCTAGGCAAGGTGCTCTGCTTCTAAAAATTCACTGGGTATTTAAGAATTAGGAATCATATTTGCAACCATTAGACCGTAGATGTCGATATAGAAAAGGATTCCAAACGTGTGCTTCCATGTTACGTACACAGAACCCATTCTACAAAACGGCAAATTTACAGAACTCAGTTTTTTAACCAATGTTGTCTGGGTTTTTTTTCATTATGAAATGTAGAGATACCTCATGGTTATGTCTGGTCTTTCTGCTAGAGATACCTCATGGTTATGTCTGGTCTTTCTGCTAGAGATACCTCATGGTTATGTCTGGTCTTTCTGCTAGAGATACCTCATGGTTATGTCTTGTCTTTCTGCTAGAGATACCTCATGGTTATGTCTGGTCTTTCTGCTAGAGATACCTCATGGTTATGTCTGGTCTTTCTGCTAGAGATACCTCATGGTTATGTCTGGTCTTTCTGCTTCCATCCACAATAATAAGGGAACCTCAATCTCATAGTGGGAGCTGCTGTAGCATAGAGGCTAACCTCTGGCCTGAAAGACTTGGGTTCAAAACCACACTGAAGCAGATTTCTGTTGGTTATTTTTTTGGTAATGATCCTTGTCCTCCCGTTGACCCAGCCTCAAATAGCTACCAGGTAATGTCTTGGGAAGTAAAGTGGTCGATGTGATGTTAAGTGCATCCCGTCTGGGCTATAAAACTACAAATCTAGCGTACTGATGTGTGTCACTGGCATAATGAAGGGTACTTTAGTTTACTTTATTACATCCTTTCGAGTGTCTGAAAAAACATGCCTCCAGTTGATGGAAATTGTCAGGGATGGGTGGGTGGGGGTGTGGGATGGGGGGGGGGGGGTCCCTCAACCTGGGAGGGGGGGGCCCAGTGTTTGTTTGTCCTTGACCTGCCCCACAGACAACTGCCCTATTCTTTCTTGTAGTTTACAGTTATTCTTTAAAATAAAAAAGCTTTTACAATAAAACAGCCTTGATCTCTGAATTAGGTAATCACAAAATGAACTACTTCTCTGACTAAATGTAACATATTTATCATTGGATAGGGTGATTCAAATATAGGGAAAACACATCTAGGAATGACTGGTATTGAGCAAATGGCAGGAACGTGTACATCAAAAGAGGTTATAAATGATTATACTGGTTAACTCAATGAATAACAGCAGAGGGTGGGGAAATCTCTGATAAATAACCATATCAAGAATGTAAATGAATTTTAAAAAATATACTAGAGCTATAATATAAATTATTAGCTGACAAAAATTCTTTTTAAAAAAAACATTCTATGTAGCTGTGGTAGAATAAAGAACAGAAATACTGCAGATAATAAAGATTATAACTACAACTATAAAATTACTGGCATCATTAAGGTTAATAGACTGGAATAGCTGGCGCTTATAGAGAGAAAGACAAAAGACCAAAAAAAAAAAAAATTTTATGGGATAGATTGGAGGCAGACCAAGACGATTGTAGAGATAATAATATAGAGGTAGAATAACAAGAAATTCGAGTCACCAGCTGGAAAGAGAAAGTAGAGATGAAGTGACTTGGTGATATTTGCAGCAAAAAAAAAGGTGCAGAATGCAAAAGAAAAAGAAGGAATTGAGCAAGCTATGAGATTTATCATGGATTTGCCAAAAATTGTAGTTGGTGGTCATAACATAAACAACCTGCGTTAGGCTGATGACACCATCTTAACAGTGACAAGTCAAACAGAAATACAGGAAGTGATAAACATGGTGGTAGTAGAAAGTGACATAATGGGCCTCAGTTTGAATAATTGACAGACAGAAGTAATGGTAATTTCCAAGAAGTCTAAACGTGTAATAAAAGTCAAAGGCGTTACAGAAATGTAAGTATCTGGTACATGGATAACATCTGATGGATGATGTATCCACGGACATAAAGAACAGAACAGGCAAAACTGAGTTTTATCAAATGAAGAACATTTAATACAAAAAATCCTGCAGAGGTTAGGAAAAGACTTGCATGCTATATAGAGCCAGTTTTAACATACGGCCGTGAAGCCTGGACAAATAACAAACCACCTGAACAATATCTTGAGGCCTCGGAGATGTGGTTTTACAGAAGAATCCTTAGAATTCCTTGGCCAGCTAAGAAGAGCAACCTAGATGTTTTGAAAGAGGTGAGTGCTTAAAGACAACTTATCACAAACACCAGAAAGAGACAGTCATCTTTTTTTGGTCATGTTATGAGAAGAAGGAAAATGGAACATGTTGTAACCACTGGAAAATTCTGTGGAAAAAGAGAAAGAGGAAGACAGGGAGAGAAAATTTGTTATGGCCTTTTGTCACGGCATGAAGGGGTGTCAAAACATGAAATGATACATGCACCTTCGGATTGCGGAGTATGGAAAGGCATGATCGCCCATGCCAGCCAGCAAAGCACTTGATGATGATGATACTATAAATAATAACAGAAGCGTAAGCTAACTACAAAATGAGCGAACTAAGCTATAATAAAGCCAAACCACAAGACTGCAATTAACTGAACAAATTATACAACCAATAATCAAGCACAACTACAGTTTAGACAAAATCAAGCACACAAACCAAGAACAAATAATAAAATATAGCACTTTTTTTTAAATATATACATTTGCAAAAACAATTACAAAATATCTACACCTGATTATAAATAAAGTAACAAAAAGTTAGTCACAAGACATCAAGGAAAAACACAGAACTTAGAAGAATAAAACTTAATTCTTTTGCACACACAAATTTGAAAAAAAGTTAAGAATCTTTGAATTAACCAAAAATATCCTACAAAAACAAAGGCCACTAAAAATTTTTTTTAAAATAAAATGTACCTACACTAATAATTTTTTTTTAGTGGGGGGGGGGGGGGGTGTTACCAAAATATATGAAAGGGAGTAACCAATAAACAACAATGGAATACAGAATTAAATGGATTACATTCTCTTGGGCCTTAAAATGTATTTGGGTGATTCATATAGTGACCCAGTGACCTTATCAGTATGTTAAAACAAAGGCTAAAAGCAAATTATGACATTAAAATGGTTTAAAAAACTAGTATTTTCACAATAAATTGTAGAAAATATAATTCATATCATATCTGTGAATCATAATCACTGAGCAGGTGCAGACAGAATCAATGCTATTAACTAAATCTGTTCCGCACAGGCCAGGGCAGCAAAACAAATTTAGTTGGATTGATGTGGATTTATAATGGACAGCGTGAAAATTACATCTCTGCTATAAACAAAGCAGTTAATACACAAATAATAAATTGCAAAGAATCAAAAGGAATCAAAAGTTAATGTGATAGTAATCAAAATAAAATATACACTTGAAAAGGAAGAGGAAGCTCATACTGTAAAATGCTAGATGTGTGCCAAGCATGGAATGTGTCACACTGTGATACCTGAGGAGCCTCCATGCCCCCTGCCCCAGAACTAGCGGGGGCTGGAGTTTGATCTTCCTGTATAGTGTTTATGCTGGGTCCGGCTGGATCTTCCAGTACAGAGTTAATGCTGGGCCCAGGACTCATATCAGGGATTGGCTAATGATGTTTATGTGATAAATGATTTGTTACTGAAGGGAACACAAAACTTGTCTGACGGAACCTTCCTACTCTCCCCCCCCCCCCTTTATAACCGCTGAATATGAATGTTCTCTCCAGGACTTTAGAAAGCATCGCCACCATGTACTGGCTATTGTGTAGCTTGCCTGGACACTTTTCACTGAGTAGCTACCAACTGCTTTCTCAACCCTATGATTTCCCAGTATGGGTTCTGGTAAATAGTCCCACTGCCATTCTAACTAGCATGTTCTACAAGTGAACTGATCAGGTGTTTTTTTTTTTTTTCAAATTTAGGCTGCTTTTGCCTGAGAGGCAAGGAACCAACAGTTTGCATACACATAAGCCAGATCTGTCAAACCATTGTGCATGCAAAACTCAAGTTCTGGAACAACAGACCACATTCGAGAGGCTGACGAATAACCACAACTTTCTGCCAGAGCTGACAGCCAGAAGAAACAGTACTGGCCTCATACAGCTGCTAAATTAAAAGCCTTCTTCAAATCCTAGAATGTCAGGATTATGAAACAGCATTCACAACCCTGTGGCCCACATATACCAGTATTTTAAACAAAGCCAGTATTGACTAAATGATATAGCATGTATTTTATATCAATGAAACGTTCATCTGTTAGCTTCTTCTTCTTTCCTTTCTCCCTAAAAGAAACACAGATCCTCAACCCACCCATGCCGTGTCATCCCGCCCGCTATTGCATGCAGTTCAACCCATGCCGTGTCATCCCGCCCGCTATTGCATGCAGTTCAACCCATGCCGTGTCATCCCGCCCGCTATTGCATGCAGTTCAACCCATGCCGTGTCATCCCGCCCGCTATTGCATGCAGTTGAACCCATGCCGTGTCATCCCGCCCGTTATTGCATGCAGTTCAACCCATGCCGTGTCATCCCGCCCGCTATTGCATGCAGTTCAACCCATGCCGTGTCATCCCGCCCGCTATTGCATGCAGTTCAACCCATGCCGTGTCATCCCGCCCGCTATTGCATGCAGTTGAACCCATACCGTGTCATCCCGCCCGCTATTGCATGCAGTTGAACCCATGCCGTGTCATCCCGCCCGCTATTGCATGCAGTTGAACCCATGCCGTGTCATCCCGCCCGCTATTGCATGCAGTTGAACCCATGCCCCCCACAACCCCATCTTGTAAACTTCACTCTGTAGCTCACTGCTCTATATTTGTTTGTCGGTTGTCTGCCTTTATTCCAGACTTCTTTACTCAGTCTTTTAAAGGATGCCTCTCAATTAGTCGCTTGTTGGGGAGGCAGTAGTCTATTCTTGTTTTCCCCACCAGGGGGCTCCAGAACCCACAGTGATTTGTTGTGTTTAATCAGACTGCACTTAAAAAAGCTTTCAAAAAACTTGTTTCAATACAAAATGTATATATTCGTCCCTTAACGTATATATCCGGTGAACACAATCCAAAATCAAATGAGATCGAGACCAGAAAACGTCACCACAAATATAGCTGAAAGGAAAGTGAGCAGAAATGTGAGCGGACCTAGCTGAAAGTGGTCAACGAAAGAGAATTTGAATATATATTCGGTCCAGGCAAAAGTGACACATGTGTGGTTTTGTTGGGGTTGACAAGGCTCTTCAAGATATGTTACAACTTTCTGGGAGATAAAAGAGTTGATGTAGAACAGTATGACTGCGATAAGACTTGACCTCTGTGCAGCCAGGCAAAGCCAATATAAGTTCACTCTCTTCCACACACAAAAAAGCTAGTTGGTTATTTTAAACACCGGATCCTTTCTTACATGCATTTATTGTGAGAACTTCCATCTGCACAATGATGGACCATTCTTCATTCATATTTGACCATCTTGTTCTTCTTCTTCTTCTGCGTTCGACATCAGTCATGCTACACATTGAGTCCCGTCTGGGTCAAAAATAGGATTGTGCGTTTAAGGTCGCCACCGGTCCCCCATAGCTTCTCTCGCAATGTGGATCCCCTGGGCCAGATACACAGTCTTTGCTGGAAGAGGTAAGGGCAGTACTGCAGTATGTGCTCAGGGGTCTGTCTTTCTGCTCCACAATCACAGGCAGCAGATTCTTTTATGCCTATCCTGTACAGGTGTGCTCGAAAACCTCAGTGTCCAGTCTGAAGTCTAAAAATTGATGTTTGTTCTTTCCTGTTGAGTTTGTTTATGCTGTCACTCTCTGGTCTGTAATCTCTATTCTGCTTTCTCCACTTCCGCTTGAAAGACCATCTTGTGAATAATGTTCAGTAAGTACACACCATCAGACGCAATAGTTAGAACCATGAACACTCAAGATTTCATGTGGCAATTATTACAATGAAAACCTCAGCAGGAGTTATACATAGGCAATGATACAATGTAAACATATACTCACACTGTCTGAATGATCAGGGAGCTTACAGTTCACATCTTGAGGATCTGCCAAACAAACATTCACAAATTTTATCACAACTGACCAAGCACACAATTTCTTCTCCTCCTGTTTTTATGGGAATAATTCTTTTTCTTCATCTGTATTCCGTGCCCTTAAGTTTTAACTCTTTGAGTCCCAAGTAACACATCATACGTTCATAGGTTCCTGCCTAGAGGCCCAGTGAACGCATGATGCGCCGATTTTACATCTATTTTGACTAGCCCCTTGGGCCTCTGATGCTAAACCCCCTGGGACTCAAAGAGTTGAAGCTGCAGATATCACCTGCCTCTATTCCTCTCTGTGACTGGCTCTCTGTGTCCAGCTGGTGACTCCAAGTGTCTGCAGGTCTACTGGACATTATCTCTTCACTGTCTTCTTGATCTGTCTCATGGTCTACAACCATTTATCTCCCTTGTGTACTAAGCAGATCAACCTAAGCCTTGAATTCGGAGGGGACTAATAAAACAATGTGTAAAATCACAATAACAGATAAAACAGCTGCTACGTTCACAGGGTGACATATGGCTGAGTAGCCTCTTGATATACTGGTCAGTAAAAAATGGCCAAGGTCTGGCACAAACAGTGGTCACTAAGTGTAAATGAGTTAGTGGGTCAAGAACTAACTCCATAAAATAAATCAAAGTTGTAACACGGAAGTCAGCGAGCAAGAATAACTCTTCCTCCACTGTAAATCTGTTTATGCCAAAGCTACTGGGATCCAACCATACATGCACTGCTTGATAGGATAACCACTCTATTTATTTGGGTAAATTGCTTGTTTCTATCTTGTTTATATTTTTAACAAATTAAACTCAGTTAACAACAAAATCTCAGTTCCAATGGAATAAACTCGTCTGGTAAAAACTGTCATTTGCTAGATGTGATTTCCAAACATCATTGTACTGGCACATGTAATGTGAGTACATACACAAAATGAAAATCTAAACATGAAATCAAAACCTAAACACTGGAGAGAATGAATGTTAATAGATTAGGTAGTAATGTGATTAGGTAATTGTGATGGTTAGCTGTGGGCGAACATTTTTAATTAATAGAAAAATGTTGAACACAACAACCGAGAATGGATGTACACAGAGAAATGTAATAACTTACGTGGCACCAAGACAAGAAATGTAGTAACTTACGTGGCACCAAGACAAGAAATGTAGTAACTTACGTGGCACCAAGAAAAGACATGTAACTTACGTGGCACCAAGACAAGAAATGTAGTAACTTATGTGGCACCAAGACAAGAAATGTAGTAACTTATGTGGCACCAAGACAAGAAATGTAGTAACTTACGTGGCACCAAGAAAAGAAATGTAACTTACGTGGCACCAAGGCAAGAAATGTAGTAACTTACGTGGCACCAAGACAAGAAACGTGGCACCAAGACAAGAAATGTAATAACTTATGTGGCACCAAGACAAGAAATGTAGTAACTTATGTGGCAACAAGACAAGAAATGTAGTAACTTACGTGGCACCAAGACAAGAAATGTAGTAACCTATGTGGCACCAAGACAAGAAATGTAGTAACTTACGTGGCACCAAGACAAGAAATGTAACTTACGTGGCACCAAGACAAGAAATTTAGTAACTTACGTGGCACCAAGACAAGAAATGTAGTAACTTATGTGGCACCAAGACAAGAAATGTAGTAACTTACGTGGCACCAAGACAAGAAATGTAGTAACTTACGTGGCACCAAGACAAGAAATGTAGTAACTTACGTGGCACCAAGACAAGAAATGCAGTAACTTACATGGCACCAAGACAAGAAATGTAGTAACTTACGTGGCACCAAGACAAGAAATGTAGTAACTTATGTGGCACCAAGACAAAAAATGTAGTAACTTACGTGGCACCAAGAAAAGAAACACTAGAATGCCGACAACTCCAATAAAAATGCCAGGCACCACAAAGGACAGACCCCAGTTGTCTTCTACAAAAGCTCCAGCGATGAAAGAGCCAAGGATGTTCCCCACGCTGGTGTGAGCATTCCATATCCCCATGATCAAACCACGTCTGAAAGATAACATCACAGAACATGAATTCAAGTTCAACTCACCTAAAGATATCATCACAGAACATGAACTCAGGTTCAACTCACCTGAAAGATAACATCACAGAACATGAACTCAAGTTCAACTCACCTGTAATCAAATAACAGTAAGGTCGGAAAAGTCATTTTTCACACCAATGGCACATAGGACACATGGTGCCAGCCTCATATTTTACAGACATGTAATCGGTGATGTTGTCTACTTTACTTCCTAAAACATTTCCTACTACCCATGTTCGACAGTATCAACCTAGAAGCAAGGGTCAATGAAAATATTCCTGTCTCGGTAGAGACTGCAACCAATGAACACAGAGTTGGCAGACAAACACAGTACCCAGTATACCCCTGATGTATAGAAACAAAACCGCTGACTGAAAGTATGTCATGCAAGCCATTGAATGCACCAAACATTAAACGCTCATTCATGCCACACAAAAGATCAAATGGTTGAATGTTCAGACGACTGGAACTTCTTTTGGTAGGGAAAAATGAGGCTACTTTGCTATCCCTCTAAAAAAAAAAAAAAAAGGCCCAAAAGCTTGTCTTGAAAAAAAAAAAAAAAGATAAGGTTGTCTTCATCTTCTTAGTATTCATAGGATGTAAACTCTGACAGAAAGTTGTGGCTGTTCATCCACTCCAAGACTTTGGTCTTGTTCCAGAATTGAGCTGTCTGTGTACATCAATGCTACAGATCTGGCTCATCTCTATGCAGACTGTTGGTTCCTCATCCCTAATTAGTCACCTCCCACGACAGTGGCTGTCCCCTTTGTTGTCCAAAAAGGAGCCCCAGAAGCCACACAGTGAAGATACGCTTGTGAAAGCTATAGGGACACTTCAAGTTCAAACAGGCAATGGAATTTCTAAAATGAGATGAGAAATGAAGTGAAGAAAACAAAATAAAATGTTCATCACAGTAAAAACAATCTAGACAGAATGCAGCAAATAAGGATCTTCACACTCAGATCTGGAGTGTTCTCAGAATCCCTCATCAACAAATGGATCAGCCAACTGTAACTGAAGCATCAAAGCAAACTCTAGACCACAATTCTGATTTCTCCTTAGAAAGGACACCCGATTGGTCCGCAGGAGTAAGTGTATAATAGAAATTCTGTGGAATCAGCAAAACCTTTTTGACAAGCATTAGGTTCGTTATCCATTCTGGAACAAAGTCAACAGTGATCACTAAAGAAGGAATGTAAACATCAAGAAAATAGGTACAATTATCCTATACAACTGTATACATTAGCCAACCCTGTATGAAAAAATTGACCCTTCAGGGGCAATAAATGTGTTCACACACAACACAAACATCCACTTACTTCCCTTTCCCAAACCAGTTGCCAACACAGGCAACTACTCCTGGCCAACCAGTGGCTTGAAATACGCCTCCTATCACCTGTGGATACAAGTCATGTTACTGAATAATTTGACTGTGAAAAATCGGCTAGTGTTGAATTTATGCTTGTTCTTTTTAAGTGGAACCAAAAAAAATGGTCTTTGAAATGTCCTAAATGCCAGGAGCTTCAAATGAAAACCCGAAAATTGTCACAGAAATAATAATAACCAGTGCCACTGCCTTGTAACATGTTAATACAGTTGTTAAGGAGGTCAAGAGTGTTAGGCAGGTGACATGACTGTCAACCGTCTGTCAGAGAAGTTATGATGTTTTTAAACTCTCTACTCCACACATATACTTACTCTTACTCAAGTGACAGACATGCATGACCATACTGGACCTTCATTTGCCAATGAATATCTAAAGGTTTCATGTCTTCAATTATCAAAAAATGTTGCTTCTCTTTGATGCCTGTCAAACATGGGGCAGCCATCTTTAAACTATCATTAGGATGTCACTGTGCTTGTATACACCGTGACATTACATGTTTAACACTCTTGAATTCCTTAACAATAATAACAACATGTTACAAGACAAAGACCTGGCTAGTGTAAATTTTGAGACGTTCATTTGAAGCCCCCTTGTAAAAGAATAAATCAGTCAGGTGTCATCACCACAAACTTATGTTTTCTTCGTGTTCACCAGCTGTAAACTGACAAAATATTTGAGATTTTAGTTCTGTTCCAGAACTTGAGTTTCACATGCACATCCGTTTTACATGTCTGGCTTACGTGTATGCAGACTGTTAGTTTCATGCCTCTCAGGCAAATGCACTCCGACTCTAAAAGAAACACCATTAATTAGTCGACTTGTACGGCAGATTTGTTGTGAGGGAGGGGGGGGCAACTAAGTCTAAGCCTCCCCCCCCCCCCAAATCCACTTGGGGACACCTCCACAATAAAAGACCAAACAACACTTCTCTGATGCCATCCAAAAATGCACTAGGAGTTATGTTCTGTTGATGCATTTTTTTTTCCCATTCAAACAATTTTTTTATTTTTATGTGCAAAATTTTGTATTTCTTCAAATACAGTTGTCATCTTCTCCTGGGACGTCATCATAAATCTCCAAATAGTCAAGTCATCTTCTTCTGGGATGTCATCATAACTCTCCAAATAGTTGAGTCATCTTCTTCTAGGACATCATCATAACTCTCCAAATAGTTAAGTCATCTTCTCCTGGGACATCATCATAACTCTCCAAATAGTCATCATCTTCTTCTGGGACATCATCATAACTCTCCAAATAGTTAAGTCATCTTCTCCTGGGACATCATCATAACTCTCCAAATAGTTAAGTTATCTTCTCCTGGGACATCATCATAACTCTCCAAATAGTCAAGTCATCTTCTCCTGGGACGACATCATAACTCTCCAAATAGTCAAGTCATCTTCTTCTTGGACATCACCATAACTCTCCAAATAGTCATCATCTTCTTCTGGGACATCATCATAACTCTCCAAATAGTCAAGTCATCTTAACTCTCCAAATAGTCAAGTCATCTTCTCCTGGGACGTCATCATAACTCTCCAAATAGTCATCATCTTCTTCTGGGACGACATCATAACTCTCCAAATAGTTAAGTCATCTTCTTCTGGGACATCATCATAACTCTCCAAATCCTGAATTCCAGCCTGATTTGTTTTTACTCCCTTTCCTGTAGAAACACTGGCCCCATTCCCTCCCTCTAGCTGATGTCCTTAACCGGGGGGTATTTTTGGGAAAGGGCTTATATTAAAAGCATCCTGAAAATTGTGCTAGGGCCTTTTTCAGAGGAACATGGTTTTACCAAATAGGTTCTTTACTGCCAGTCAAAAGGTCTTGGGTTCACGTCTACACTTTAGTAAATGTTTATAATGGAACTAGTGCTCCAAGGGCTGAGAGACAGGTCCCATCAATGTCCTGGGAAGTAAAGGTGACTGGCACAAAGGTGACCACATTATCTAACTGGAATATAAAATTATAGTCTTATCACTTTGTGAGGAATGCACTAATAGCTTGTAAAGAGTTCACTGCTTTTTTACTGAACTAAACAAAAATCTTGTGAACATTTTCAGAACTCAGTGGTTCAGCTGTAGCTGTCATTCACTGTTGGTAGCAATCATCAAATTTTCTGTAGTGACTGTTATTTTGAGACACCTGTTATGACAAAAACTTATAGAAGTACAAGAAAGTTACACTGTGTCATATAGGTCCCATGTGTTCACACAGATTACTCAGTTATCATAAATGCTTTTAACATGCAGTGGAGATAATCCAAGCTTAGCCAGTTGGCATTCCAATTGAAACTGAGGTGTGTATGGAACAGTGAAAGATATGTGTCACACCACAGACTTCACAGAGGGCTGTGGCCTTCTCATCTGAAAACCACTGGAAGGGGGAACGATAAGGAGAAGATAAATGATAATTGTGTGTGTTTTTTCTTACCTGTATTATCACATAAAATGAAAAGGTGTGAACATCAAAGAAGTATCCCAGGCCAAAAGCAATCGTGAAAATAGCACTGAGAATCATTCCAGCTGACAGGTAGTACCTCAGGTTCATCCTGTCTGCAATGTGGCCACTGTGGAGTCAGCAAAACATGTTTAATATCAAATGATTGCACTGTGAAGAGCAAGAAGAGAGAAAAATGTAATTGGTTTTCAAATTAAATAGGGCGCCACACATCATCGTAGTTAGATGCTTGTCCAAGCCTGAAGGTAATTGGTTCAAAGCCGCACTGTGTAAGATTATTTATTTTGCAGACTTACACTGGTTAAGCCAGTCTAAAATGGGTACCAGGTAAACTGAGAAGTAAAGGTGACCGATATGGTGTTGACGATATCACTCTCAAAGTGCCAATAGGTCCATAAAATACAGGTCTGGCACTATACAATCAATACACCGAAGGGTGTGGAAAAGGTCTCTTTCAAATTAAACAATGTTTCCTTACTGTAAATGTGAACAAAGAAAACACAAGCAACAACAAACTGAAGAATGTAATGCATCTCATATTTTGTTTTATCTCATCAGGTTCAGCAGCAAACAGGACAAAATAAAGCCAAGTAAGTGAATCCTTTACCATCTGCCATGCAAGTGCCATCAATGGAAGGGGTGAAGGGGAATGAATGAAAACAGCTGCCCAGACAAACTATGTTCATAATTAATAAAAGCTTATCATTATGGGAGGCAATCCAAACAAAAATCAACCTGACCTGGCGAAGAAGGTTTGCAATGTTTGTTACTGCTTGAGATATGGAAATAAGGCAAACTAAACCATAAAATTGTTCTCATTTTGTTTTCTTTTTCAGACAAACCTTAAAAACATGGCCACTGCGTATGAGATGAGGTAACAGAGATCCAGGGCTCCAAGCAGGTCAAGGCCGTTGGATCCATCTGAAATGAATAATGTGTTAGCATGTGCATAAATAATCTTCACAAAATAAAAATAAAAACAGTGATGGCAATGATTACAATACAAGTGTATAATTATTATTATAAGTAGAGAGATAACACCAAAAAAGTTTGAAAAATCCAGCAGGTTTACAGACAGACATGTGTGTCAACAAAAAAGACAGACTGATAGACAAAGGATGAAAGTAAAGTATATACTAACTGACCAATGGACACAGACTGATAGACAGGAAAAAGACCGCCAGACAGACAGACGGACAGAATCACAGATGCTGTTTTACCAGCAGACAACAGAAGCTGTCAGACAAACTCACAGGGGCTACTTAGACAGAAGCTAATGGACATTCACACAGGGAGACTGACATACTTGGACATAAGCTGACAGACAGAAATAAAAGCCAACAGACAACTTACTGAATGGAGGCCAGTCACACCAGTACTCATTGGATGTGTTGATGGACTGGCTGTGTTTGACGGTACTGCAGTTGTCTCGGTGGAGCACACTCTAAATACGCATCAACAAGTACATCTATTAGCTACAGTATATGAGCAGTATATGAGTAAACTTGATGAAGAAATTAAGGGGTCACTACACAGCATTTTTTCAAATTTATGACATAAATATCACTTTTTCAAAATGTTCGTTTTTGTAAAGTTCGGCATTCGTAGAATAGATTACACACAAAATTTTATATCATTTGTAAACAATTTAGCTTTGAAAAAGGCACCAACCCATGCACTTTTTTAAGATAAAAAAAGTTTTAAAGTCAGTTTTCTCACATCTTTATATTTCTGTTTGTTGTGTGTATGAAGTACTAAAATCTCAGCTAATTTAAAGACTAGAAACATGAAATTTATTATGAATACTCCTTAAACTATATTATAGGGGACTGGTCTTTTCAAAAGTAGATTTTAGAAATTTTTTTGTTTTTTAAATTTTGATTATTGTCTTATGCTGCATGATTTTTTTTTGACTTTTTCAATAAACCTACATTTTAAAATTCTGCTAAAAATATTTAAAATTATGTTTAAAGTAAATAAACTATACATGTACCCTCTAAATGTAATAAAATATCGTGAAGCTATCATTTATTTTTTAATACATTTGTTTGTTTTTTGAAATTTTAGGATTCTAAGTACATGTTTTTTTTTTTCACAAGATGGTGGCTATTGCCATGACAACCATTATTTTTTCACACTTAAAGTATGCAAATGTAATAACATGTATCCCTTCAAATGACCATTATAAAATAATTGCTGTAACTGCAAATTTAAAAAAAAAATTGGGGGGGGGGGCGTAGTGACCCCTTAACATCAGATGCAGTAAAGCCAACAAGTCACAGCTAGACCCCATCCCCTCTTACAGCATAAGAAAATCCCAGGAAAAGACAATCTCATACAAAGTAAATTAATTTCCACTCTTTGATACCAGAGTTAGACATGGTCACTCACAACAAACCACAACAGAAAATTAGTAACCATGGAAATGATTAGTCTGAGAAGGGCTGCAGCAGTGACCAGAAGACACAATCAGCAATCAGGTCACATGAGAAAATGTCTTCACAGAACCAATTCTAAATTACATAAGACGACAGTAAACCAAATGGTTTGCCCACTTAGACAGAATGCTTTGCAATGCCAAATCATACAAGGTGCATACACACACACACACAAACTGGAATTGAAATCTCCCTTGAGGAGGGATGTATGTGTGAACGTACCCCTTCCAGTGCTCCTAAGCTCCATAAAATTATCTTATCATCACACAATGTATATGATATAAACTGGGCATGCATACAAGGTTCTTTAACAATAACTATCTAGCACAGTAACGCAGTCATCTTAGAACTTGAGAAATGCAACTGACCACATCATTTGAAAATGTAACCAAGTTTTCTCAACTCTTGTATCAAAAACATTTGCAAAACTGTTGGATTTTGTTTTAGAATTTGATTCTTTGTAATTACAGAACTATCAGGTTTCATTTGTGAAAAAAGAATTTATAAGTTAAAGATTAACTTAAACTGTTAATTATTACAAAATATCAGAATTTATTTGTCAATACCCTTGGAATAAGTCAAAACTACTGCCGTCTATCGACGTCTTGTTTCATCCTAAAGACAAAACATTGATTTATCCTACAGAAATATCTGTCATAGAATTACCATGAGCCTTGTGTACAATGTCCATGTAATCCCAATGACCAAATCTGTGTCTGCTATAAATACAGCTGACACTCTAGAGCAACTGTCAAGTGATCAGTCTCCTGGCCGACATACAACACACTACCTGGATATGTACATGCAGATGCAGCAACTCACACCTGGACTCACCTTAACCACACTGATTGGCTTCCTGGAGAGGTGGTAACTTGTATAACACAGAAAGGTAAATGCCAGTATAAACCATCGGTACCTGTGAGAGAGTATCAGGGGAACATCATCATCATCATGTGCTGTGCCCATAAAAGAAGGTTGCCACATTTCACTGTCCCACACAATCACCAGTATCATGCATCAGGTCAATGTTCTCGTCTCACCCCATCCACAGACAAAGCCATCCAGCTGTCTAGCTCTCTAACTTCCTCTTGCTCTTTTCCCACCAATCTTGCCAGTTGATACCAAGTTTTCCAGTCCATTCCTTCTAACCTCCAAAAACCATAGGTCCACTCTCCCTCTAACTAGTGTGTCATAAACAAATTGTTTCCTTCTAAGTGAAAGTACATCTACCAGAGAGGCAAGAACCAACAGACTGCACACAAATAAGCAAGACCTGTAAAATGTATGTGCACACTCAAGTTCTGGAATAAACCAAAATTTTCTGCCAGATTTTACACCTGGTGAGAGCTAAGAAAAGGAAGAATAGTTATTAGAAACTTTCCTATCTCTCTCTTTCTCTGGCATGTTATGAATATTAGACTGGCCTGCATGGCCAGTTTTTCACAATTTGATTATAATGTACATTCATTCATCGGCTTTCATGTCCATTAGTTCTTACTTCAGAAAAACTACTGTTCACACACAAAATATGTGTGAGAAAATGGTTTGAGTTTCTGCCACCGAAGTGTGTGTTCACATGTGTGTGTGTGTGTGTGTGTGTGTAAAGCTATGCCTTTCTTACATAACTGATAAAGAATACCCTTTAATTAATGTTAATAACGTTGAAGGAAGTAGGATAGGGCAAATTAAATTACTGCAAACTGTCAAAATTCAGAGATAAGCAGCACATAAATCACACACACCACAGGGAGATAAGTATAACAAACTAGAAGCATTCTTTTTGTGTGTGTGTGTATGTGTGTGTATGTTAAATTCTATGTGCAGAACTGATTAAGGAATGTCGGTGTACTTCAAGAGACATGATAAAGATAAGGACTGTGAGGTCACCATGTGGTCACGGGCAGAACACAGCAGCAGATTTTGGGAGTGCTCCACTTCACAAATGTCACATGACTACATTAACATTCACGACCAGGTCAACAAAGTGCATCACGTGCAATGTTACTGGATAGGTAGTTACACAAACATGCACATACATACTTGTGCACACATACACATATAAAGACAGCACCTTGGCTACACATACACAAAAGCACTACAGATAACACACAAAATCATGGACCCATACACACACAGGACCCCCTCCCCCCGAGACAGCTGTAAATTAATCCATACAGGTTTTCTCCACCAACATAGGCAAGATTTTAGCTGTATTGTACAGAAGAGCACCAGTGGTGATGTGTCAAGTATGCCAACCTGCTGGTGCAGTTTTCAGGGGTTTAAATCTCTGCCACAGCTGATTATTATTAATTATGACCTAGATTACCAAGTCAAGCCAAGCTAAAATGAAGTACTACAAAACTTGCTGCAACTACCTTAAGTAATACTGGCTGGGACTCACGAGCAGCAGCTACCGCATCTCCAGCAACTTCCTCTAATTTATTTGCTCGTGAGTCCCAGACATCTAGTTTAGATCCCCATCTGCGCCGCACGCAGCGGTGCGAGGGATAAGGTTGGTGGTGAGTTTAACCACGTTCTGCGCATGCCGAAAAGTGTGAGGCAAACAACGACGCTAATCTGCGTTGGAGTGCATGGTCTCCACGCCATGTGGCTATTATCGTCTGCATTGGTGCGTGTCTCGAAAGTGTCAATGGTCGCTAGTATCATCCGTTAGCATCGCCTGCAGTGTTGCGTCTCTTAAAATTGTCAAGTAATCCTAGTTTTGCCGCAATTTGTTCCTCGGCAGGGAGTCTGACAAATCCGCATTTTTCATAGGACTGAGGCCCTGTTAGTATATTTTTTTGGCCGCCATAATGCCGGGGTAGAAGTTTGGAGGAGAGCCGAAGTATCTGTGGGTGGGCAGACTAACTCTAACTACTATGCCACCCAGGCCTCTGCACACAGCTGATTCAGTCACACCTGAGTTCACCCAACAATCATCAAAGGTTGAAAGTTAATAGAGTTGTGCTGACTAAACACAGCTGTGGCCGACTGTATTTGTTATCCACCTGCTTATCTGTATGACATCTCCAGCCTGTGCTAATCCATGATCTACCTGCATAAACATAGCCCCATAGTCACAGGTGCAAGAAATCCTGTTTTAAAAAGTATGCTACATACTAAATAATACTACATATCACTAGAATTACTAAATTATTATCTAGGATAACAGTACAGTATCATATAATTATTTGATGTACAAGTGTGAAGGGAAAAAAGGGGGCTCTCCTTGCAGCTTCGGACGGTAGCTGGACGGCTTAGTGGGAGTTCTCTCCCTTGGCCGCATTGCAAACAACGAGCGGAAAAGTAATGAATCAAATGACATACTTACCTATCATCATACTGGTGCGTGTAGGGTTGCGCAGTCATCATACGGTTGCGTCTAGGGTTACCTATCATCATACGGTTGCGTGTAGGGCTGCGTAGGGTGTCTATCATCATACGGTTGCGTGTAGGGTTGCGTAGCGTTTGGGTTAGCGTTAGGGATAGGGTTAGATGTGACAATGTTGACGTAGAACTTCCAAATACTGGGCGACACTCTGATGCTTGTAAGAGTGGCGCCACTGGAATTGTGCCAAATATGACGGCAATAGCGCTCGGCTGGTGCCCAATCGGTGGCGAATTGTCCGTGTCAGTAGCATCCACCGTCCGTCGACTGTTTGGGTGTGTATGTGACTGTGCGCGATTATAGGGAACTACGGAGTCAAAATTGTCACATCTAACGCTAAACCTAACCCTACCCCTAACCATAACCCTAACTCTACCCCTAACCCTACTAACCGTAACCCTAACGCTACCCCTAATCCTAACCCTAATCCAACCGCTAACCCTAATCCAACCGCTAACCCTACCCCTAACCACGCAAATGTATCGGTCATTAAAGCATACAGATCAGATTGACTAAATACCCAAAAAACAAACCCCAGATTTCCCTGCAGCGTCAAAAGAAAAACCCAGATCTGGGGGACACAACCAAGCATTAGCAGCCATGATGTCGACCTCACTGTCTTGTTTGATTCGTGACTTTTCCGCGCCTTGTTTGCAATGCGGCCAAGGGAGAGAACTCCCTCAAAGCCGACCTAAGCTACCGTCCAAAGTTGCAAGGACAGCCAAAAAAGGAGAATAGCGTTTATTATATTCCTACTCTCATAAGATCAATGCCAGAAGTTCAACTGTAAAATTAAGAATGTCTAATGAAAAAGATACTTACAACAAATCTCGGTGGTTGTGTGTGACCAGGCCCGGTAGGACACGGATGAGGATCGGCGCTGTCATCCTGACGATCCTCTACCTCTTGTGTCTTGTGTAGCTCGGCTTTCCACTGGAAGACGGTCTCAAAGATGTTGGGGTGGATTATCCTTTATATCGCCTACGCGTTTCTGTTCTTCTGTTGGCTTTTAGTAACGTACAATGACTGCCCGGGACCACGCTAATGCTGGTGAAGAGAGAGAGAGAGAGATGGATAAAATGTGAACGGCTGCCTAGTTGTTGAGGTCTCCGTGTTGTGATTTGTTTAACCAAGCGGTCCGCCGAGCTACACACTACACGGCAACCTTTGACCCGTGACCCGGCTTCTGACACAGTTGACCCTGCTACTGGCTGACGCCCCAGTGAGAGATCAGTGACTGTCAGGGGCGGATCTACTGGTGGGATCCAGGAAATAAAGTTTGAACAACTGATCAACGTCATCACATAAGGGTAGTAAGTGCTCCGTTCTGCTTCTAACTTAAGCCTGAGTCCGAAAAAATCTCAGCACAATGTACGAACACTGTAGTACAGGCGAGGATCCTGAAATGCTTTGGGTATATTTTTAACTCGAAATTGTTCCAGGCCAATGCCATTTAGCTACTCTTTTCGACTTCCAACTGGCAAGGGATTTTTTTACTTGCACAACAAATGTCAGGATCAAACCAACAATCACAACCAATTAGTTTCACAATATCACAAACGACAGGAATTAGAGAAATGTTTGGGCAACCACTTGTAATGACAGTTATAAGTCAAAGAAAATGGTGCCATATTATACGCATCCTGATAAGAAATGAGTAGAGAAACACGAAACAAGCTCGAAAGAAGCGAACACTGCTGGACTGAATTCATCAATGATATCGAAGTAACTCGATATCGAACAGGACAAGACTGAGCGTAATGGAAACATCGACTACCAGCCAGCTCTATGTCATCTTCATCATCATTATCATAAACCACTTATGTCGTTAAGCGGCGTGGGGAGGAATAATTTGCGATCCAGTGCTCCTTGGCTGCCACTGGCTATTGTCATGCTGTGAAGGCGTACAGTGTCTTTAATGTTGTCGATCCATTGTCGATCCGCGGCTGCCCGCTTGCTCTTGTAGTTGATCTTCTGAGATGTAGTGCTTGTGGTGGTATTTGATCTTGCTGCATTCTAACGAGATGGCCAAACCACTTGATCTGCTGTTTCTCAAAGAATCTAGTACAAGGTGTCGTTCCCACAATTTGCCTGATATATGTGACCTATAATAATAATACAACCGGACACTGAATGGAGCTTAGAGGCACACTGAATGGAGCTTAGAGGCACACTGAATGGCGCTTAGAGGCACACTGAATGGAGCTTAGAGGCACACTGAATGGAGCTTAGAGGCACACTGAATGGCGCTTAGAGGCACACTGAATGGCGCTTAGAGGCACACTGAATGGAGCTTAGAGGCACACTGAATGGAGCTTAGAGGCACACTGAATGGCGCTTAGAGGCACACTGAATGGAGCTTAGAGGCACACTGAATGGAGCTTAGAGGCACACTGAATGGCGCTTAGAGGCACACTGAATGGCGCTTAGAGGCACACTGAATGGCGCTTAGAGGCACACTGAATGGCGCTTAGAGGCACACTGAATGGAGCTTAGAGGCACACTGAATGGAGCTTAGAGGCACACTGAATGGCGCTTAGAGGCACACTGAATGGCGCTTAGAGGCACACTGAATGGCGCTTAGAGGCACACTGAATGGAGCTTAGAGGCACACTGAATGGCGCTTAGAGGCACACTGAATGGCGCTTAGAGGCACACTGAATGGCGCTTAGAGGCACACTGAATGGAGCTTAGAGGCACACTGAATGGCGCTTAGAGGCACACTGAATGGAGCTTAGAGGCACACTGAATGGTGCTTAGAGGCACACTGAATGGAGCTTAGAGGCACACTGAATGGCGCTTAGAGGCACACTGAATGGAGCTTAGAGGCACACTGAATGGAGCTTAGAGGCACACTGAATGGCGCTTAGAGGCACACTGAATGGCGCTTAGAGGCACACTGAATGGCGCTTAGAGGCACACTAAATGGCGCTTAGAGGCACACTGAATGGAGCTTAGAGGCACACTGAATGGAGCTTAGAGGCACACTGAATGGCGCTTAGAGGCACACTGAATGGCGCTTAGAGGCACACTGAATGGCGCTTAGAGGCACACTGAATGGAGCTTAGAGGCACACTGAATGGCGCTTAGAGGCACACTGAATGGCGCTTAGAGGCACACTGAATGGCGCTTAGAGGCACACTGAATGGAGCTTAGAGGCACACTGAATGGCGCTTAGAGGCACACTGAATGGAGCTTAGAGGCACACTGAATGGTGCTTAGAGGCACACTGAATGGTGCTTAGAGGCACACTGAATGGAGCTTAGAGGCACACTGAATGGCGCTTAGAGGCACACTGAATGGAGCTTAGAGGCACACTGAATGGAGCTTAGAGGCACACTGAATGGCGCTTAGAGGCACACTGAATGGAGCTTAGAGGCACACTGAATGGTGCTTAGAGGCACACTGAATGGAGCTTAGAGGCACACTGAATGGCGCTTAGAGGCACACTGAATGGAGCTTAGAGGCACACTGAATGGCGCTTAGAGGCACACTGAATGGAGCTTAGAGGCACACTGAATGGCGCTTAGAGGCACACTGAATGGAGCTTAGAGGCACACTGAATGGCGCTTAGAGGCACACTGAATGGCGCTTAGAGGCACACTGAATGGAGCTTAGAGGCACACTGAATGGCGCTTAGAGGCACACTGAATGGAGCTTAGAGGCACACTGAATGGAGCTTAGAGGCACACTGAATGGCGCTTAGAGGCACACTGAATGGAGCTTAGAGGCACACTGAATGGAGCTTAGAGGCACACTGAATGGCGCTTAGAGGCACACTGAATGGAGCTTAGAGGCACACTGAATGGAGCTTAGAGGCACACTGAATGGAGCTTAGAGGCACACTGAATGGAGCTTAGAGGCACACTGAATGGAGCTTAGAGGCACACTGAATGGCGCTTAGAGGCACACTGAATGGAGCTTAGAGGCACACTGAATGGAGCTTAGAGGCACACTGAATGGAGCTTAGAGGCACACTGAATGGAGCTTAGAGGCACACTGAATGGAGCTTAGAGGCACACTGAATGGAGCTTAGAGGCACACTGAATGGAGCTTAGAGGCACACTGAATGGAGCTTAGAGGCACACTGAATGGAGCTTAGAGGCACACTGAATGGCGCTTAGAGGCACACTGAATGGTGCTTAGAGGCACACTGAATGGAGCTTAGAGGCACACTGAATGGCGCTTAGAGGCACACTGAATGGTGCTTAGAGGCACACTGAATGGCGCTTAGAGGCACACTGAATGGCGCTTAGTGGCACACTGAATGGCGCTTAGAGGCACACTGAATGGCGCTTAGAGGCACACTGAATGGAGCTTAGAGGCACACTGAATGGCGCTTAGAGGCACACTGAATGGCGCTTAGAGGCACACTGAATGGCGCTTAGAGGCACACTGAATGGCGCTTAGAGGCACACTGAATGGTGCTTAGAGGCACACTGAATGGCGCTTAGAGGCACACTGAATGGTGCTTAGAGGCACACTGAATGGAGCTTAGAGGCACACTGAATGGCGCTTAGAGGCACACTGAATGGCGCTTAGAGGCACACTGAATGGCGCTTAGAGGCACACTGAATGGAGCTTAGAGGCACACTGAATGGCGCTTAGAGGCACACTGAATGGCGCTTAGAGGCACACTGAATGGCGCTTAGAGGCACACTGAATGGCGCTAAAGAGGCACACTGAATGGAGCTTAGAGGCACACTGAATGGCGCTTAGAGGCACACTGAATGGCGCTTAGAGGCACACTGAATGGCGCTTAGAGGCACACTGAATGGCGCTTAGAGGCACACTGAATGGCGCTAAAGAGGCACACTGAATGGGCTTAGAGGCACACTGAATGGAGCTTAGAGGCACACTGAATGGAGCTTAGAGGCACACTGAATGGCGCTTAGAGGCACACTGAATGGCGCTTAGAGGCACACTGAATGGAGCTTAGAGGCACACTGAATGGTGCTTAGAGGCACACTGAATGGCGCTTAGAGGCACACTGAATGGCGCTTAGAGGCACACTCTGTGTGTAAATTTCAACTTTAAGCTATTCCCAATCTTAAATAGCCAAAAGGTTACTTGGCAACTGTAAGATGCTCAAATATATATTTTATACTGTAAAATGAATAGACATTGCTAATGAAGACATCTTTTTTAGGGGTACTAAGTTGGTCATGCGCGTAGTACACTTGTTCAGGGACACTAGATGAGTATCGTTAATTCTATACATTAGAGTCCTATGTAGTCACTTCATAGTTAGAGCCTATTTGTGTATGTGTACTGCGTTGTCCTTTAAGTGCTGATGAAGGCTAATCGCCGCAACGTCCTTTGTTTTTTGTGATCGATTTTGTAAAGCCAACATAAACTAATTGTTGTTTCTTACCAACTTTTTCTCTTCCCTATAATTTTCTACTCCTTATAAAAACTTGTTTCCACAGGAAGGCTTACTCGTCGTTTAATGGTGATAGATTCGATCCCTGGCCCACTACCTATAGCATTCGACTGTTATGTTGTCTACTGTGTCCTTCTAACTTTCTACTTCTTTTCATGAGTGCCGATCAATACATTGTCATGTGTTTGTTATATAATATACTGTAACATGATGCTGAGTGATTTGCTCATGTTCGATTCGAATAAGAATATTGGCTCTTTGAGTCACTGCGTTAATCTTTCTGACCAAAATCCTGGAGGGAAAAGATGAAACAGAAAATACCCAGTTCAAAGATGTGTTGGCATCTTCCCGTCTTTCCAGACGATAGCGTTAAATAATGTTACGTGGAGGCATGGGACACACTTTCAGATAATGAAAAGTAGATCCGCCGCTGGGGCAGATTAGCTTCACCGAGTGACACAATAAAAATAGTGACCAAAGGACAATGCCTTCGCCTTTGACCTT